GTGGCTGCCACACCAGCCTCGCAGGGGAAACACTCAACCCTTCTTTGCTTCATCCTCAGGGGGATCCTGGCCCAGGAGGGGAGCCTGGACCCCGGGGTCCAACTGGAGAAGCAGGACCTGAGGTAAAGTACCACGACACAGCCTGAGCTCCTGCTGCCACCTCTCCACTTCTCCTTGATGCTATCCAGCCTAGTGGGTGTCCCTGATTTGCTGGAGGGGGCAACAGCTGCCAAACACATCTGCTGCCTTCCTGAGAGGCTTTAATACCCTTTTCCATGGCACAGCCCTGCAAATAAAGCCACGATTTTGATGGCTCTGGCATCTAGTTCCCCAAAAAAGGGAAACTGGTGGGAAAGCCAGGCCTGAAATCCCTCTGCTCTCCTTCCAGGGCAGCCCCGGGCCACCAGGAGATCCTGGCCTGACTGTAAGTAGCACTGCTCCGTGGTCCCTGCTGCTCTTCCTCCTGGGGCAACGGTGGCTTAGCCTGGGAATGAAACAGGGCATCAGGTCCTGCCGCTGCCCCGTGGTGGCCCATGGCTTCCCACGGGAGCCAAGGGGAGCAGGGAAGGGGGTCTGTGGGGTGGGGAGAGGAGATGTGCTGTCTAAAAGGGAAGGAGACACTCACCCTGTGTCCTTTTGCTGTCAGGACTGCGACGTGATGACCTACGTGCGAGAGACGTGCGGTTGCTGCGGTGAGCAAGACCATTGCTTGGCCCCAGGGCAGGGGAATGACCCCTGGAGGGATGGGGAAAGGGGTTATCAGGGGCTGCACCTTCTTCAGGAGCTCCATCCTTCTTCAGGAGCTCCATCCTTCTTCAGGAGCTCCATTCTTCTTCAGGAGCTCCATCCTTCTTCAGGAGCTCCATCGTTCTTCAGGAGCTCCATCGTTCTTCAGGAGCTCCATCCTTCTTCAAGAGCTCCATCGTTCTTCAGGAGCTCCATCGTTCTTCAGGAGCTCCATCCTTCTTCGGGAGCTCCATTCTTCTTCAGGAGCTCCATTCTTCTTCAGGAGCTCCATCCTTCTTCAGGAGCTCCATCCTTCTTCGGGAGCTCCATCCTTCTTCGGGAGCTCCCTTGAGCTGCCCTTTAGGCGTGAGCTGCCAGCACGGTGGGCTCCTTGCTGCTCTGCACAGCACTGCATCCTCCAGAGGAGGTGCCACAGGATGTCCTTCCCTGCTTGCCCCAGTCCCAGCCCATCAGCCAGCGTGGTGGCACAGCGAGGGCAGCCTGGCTTACCTCCCAGAGTTCAGCTGTGCCACCTCAGGGGCAGGGAGCTGCCACACAGAGCTGAGTGCTCCAGAGGGTAGGATAGAGTTTATTACACATCAAGGTCTTCTTCCAACAGAAGGTTTTCTTCTTGTTGACAGAGAGAGGCATTTAGAACCCTGGTTCTGCTGCCAGCTTGAGGCCAGCACCACCAACCCTGTGGATGCTTGGGGTGGCGCTGACTGCGTCCGTTTATTCCACTGATGGTGGCTCCTGGCCCCACCATGGCTGACCTCTGTGTTCTCCTCCTTCTCCCCCACTCCCCAGACTGTGAGAAGCGCTGTGGTGCCCTGGACATCATGTTCGTCATCGACAGCTCGGAGAGTATTGGCTACACCAACTTCACCTTGGAGAAGAACTTTGTGGTCAACGTGGTCAGTCGGCTGGGCTCTATTGCCAAGGATCCCAAGTCAGAGACAGGTCTGGACCGTGTGGGGAGCCTTGAATCCCACCAGCTTCCTCGTTTGTAGCTTCCATGGGCTGCTCTCCGCCTGTCCAGCATTTTCCCAGCAGTTTCTGCTTTTCCCTCTTCCCCTCCCAGCTTTGTTGGCCAACGGGGCAGCTCTTTGCTGATACACAAGTCCGTTGGCTTCCTCCACTTCTCCCTGAGGACACACAGCCCAGTAACGTGCCCCTTCCTTGGCAGGTGCCCGTGTTGGGGTGGTGCAGTACAGCCACGAGGGGACCTTTGAAGCCATCAAGCTTGATGACGAGCGCATCAACTCGCTGTCGAGCTTCAAGGAGGCTGTGAAGCGTTTGGAGTGGATCGCTGGGGGCACCTGGACACCTTCTGCCCTTCAGTTTGCCTACAACAAGCTCATCAAGGAAAGCAGGAGGAAGAAAGCACAAGTGTTTGCTGTGGTGATCACAGACGGGCGCTACGACCCCCGGGATGACGACAAGAACCTCGGGGCTCTCTGTGGTAGAGATGTGGTCGTCAACACCATTGGCATTGGAGACATGTTTGACCAGCCAGAACAGAGCGAGACCTTGGTCTCCATCGCTTGCAACGAGCCCCAGCGGGTCCAGAAGATGAGGCTCTTCTCAGACCTTGTGGCAGAGGAATTCATTGACAAGATGGAGGATGTCCTCTGCCCAGGTCTGTACCTCTCGTTGCACTGCTTAGGGAATCTGGGGGTTTCGAGCCCCAGGGTTTGGGTTGGGGAGCATTTATGGGGTGTGAAGATTGTGAAGGCACCGTGTTCAAGCAAGCTGGCCAGTAACTCCTAAATTGGGTCATTTAGGGTGGGCGTTGACCTTGCACCCTGGCTGTGCAAGCCACGAACTGGGGTGGCAGCACATCACTCAGTTTTCTTTGTTTCTTTTCTTTCCACACTCAGTTTTCTTTGTTTCTTTTCTTTCCACACTCAGTTTTCTTTGTTTCTTTTCTTTCCAGATCCACAGATCGTCTGCCCTGAGCTGCCTTGTCAGACAGGTAAACATTACCAGTAGCTTCATGTCACCTGCAAAAAGTGGTAGGTCCAGAGAGAGAGAGAGCACCCAAGGCTCAGGAGTGGGGGGAGCAGGATGTGCCACCCTGTTCATCCCCTTTGGATGGAGGGGGTTTGGGAAATAGTGTTATTTTACACGAGGAGAGGCTCCAAGGTTTCATCTCCTGCTTTTCTCCCTGTCTCTCTGAGTTCTCTGCACAGGTAGCTACGAGAGCACCACGTTTCCCCCTACCCCAGCTCCTAGGAGCCACCAGGTTTTGGCCACCAACCTCAGCACTTAATTTCTCACTTGTCCCATGTCTCTATCACACATCAAGTCAAAACCCACTTGCCAAACTGTCCCACCCATGTGACCTTTGAAAGGCAGAGCCCAGCCTGCAGCCTTGGGCAGGATGCTCCTTGGGGGTGAGGAGGGCAGAGCAGAGGGTAGGGACTGTTTGGGTAGGGACCCAAAGCTTTGGCTTCTCTAATGCTGGCTGTATTTAATTAACTATTAACTCAGGGTGTTGCATCAAAGGAAAAAGGCTGTGAGGATCCTCTGGTAGAAAGGAGACGGCTGCTGCTTGCTGCAGGTAGCTTGATTTGGTCATATCTTGCTTGTCAAGGGGCAGATCTGCATCCTGGAGTCCTCCAGATCCTGTCTGAGCCTCTGTGCCTGTTTAAATCCAACGGATGCACCGTTTGCTGGCAGACACAAAGCTTGCAGGGGACAAAGGTTTGAGGTTCTTGCAACTTTTATCTCCACTTTTGCTGTGATTGGTTTTGTGGAGGCTCAACTCAGTAGGACACAGGAGCTCAACTTTCATTTTCAAAGAAGTCCCTTGGTTTCCACACGAAGCAAGGCAGGGGACAAAGGTTTGAGGTTCTTGCCACTTTTATCTCCACTTTTGCTGTGAATGGTTTTGTGGAGGCTCAACTCAGTATGACACAGGAGCTCAACTTTCATTTCCAAACAAGTCCCTTGGTTTCCACACGAAGCGAAAGGAAAACTGGTCCCAGGATGCTCAGAAAGCTGAAGACAGAAAAGCTGCAATTATGCCTAAAATCTCTGACTAGTATTTTAAGTATTGGCACCTGGCCATGCAGAGGAGACAACATCCAGCCCTGATGCTGAGCAGCCCACACAGACTCCCCTGCAGCATCCTCTGCAGGAGATTTGTCCTGCAGACCTGTGCATGAGGAGGTAACTTCAAAGGTTTTGATCTTTGCAGTCTCCCTGTTTCTGAGGAGGCCTTCAGGAGAGAGCCTGACCCAAGCAGTGGTGCCCTCACATTCTCTGAGGCTTGGGCCATCAAAACCATCCAGAGCAAGGTGAAGCTGGTGGCCCTTTCCCTGTAGTGCACTTGAGTGTTTCTTTTCCAAGGTGACCACAGTTCCCTGGTACATGACAACCCTGGAGACCAGAGCAGAAGTGTCTTGAGGATGCATCTGAGGGGGTTCCCTAGTGGACAACTCCCTCAACCCATGCCATAGGCAGGTCAGGTCTACACCCGTGCCCCTGAGGACATGGGAGGTGGGCTGACGTGGCTGGGTAGGTGTGGGGAAAATTCTCCTGGTGTGCAAGGAGCTGTACCAGGCCTGGTAGGTTGAGCTTTAAGTGTTACCCATGGATTCAGGGGCCTCTGGGCAAAGCACCTTCTCACCCGTCGCACCGAACAGTCCATGGTGTTTTTCCATCATCATCTAGAAGGACTTTCAACGATGACATTTGCATAGTGGTGAGGGAACACGTTGAGTGGGATGTGACAGAAGGCACGTGGCAGAGCCTGGGGTTTCTCTGCTCAGTGCTCAGCTTCCTCTGGTCGTCTGAGAACACGGCAAGAGTTGGTGCCACTTCCCATGCAGACCCTTCGGATGGAGACGTTGCCCTTCACAAGGTGTGTGGGTGAGCTCCGTGCTCACCCAACGCCTGTGTCTGGTTGTAGAGGACAGGCCAGGCAGGTTCAGCTCCCCATGGCTGTCAGAGTTGCAAATCAAGCAAACCAAGCCTAAGAAAAATCCATGTTCTCCCATTTTCTAGGAGCACCCTTGTCTCCTTGTTACCACCCACCAACTCCTGCGGTGTGAACAGGATGCTGGAGCGTTGAATGGGTTAAAAGCTGAGCAAATCTCCACTGACCACTTGCTTCTGTAGAAGCAGCATGATGCTCTGCCAGGCTCTTTCTAACCCATGCAAAAGGCTTTGCTTTGAGCTTTGGGGGGTTCTTTGAATTTAAATCCAGTGCAGCCAGGTAGAGATGGAGCCTCTTGGGGTCCTGACTCGCCCCAACACCGCACAGGAGCATCACTCTCCACAAAGCAGTGACTTCTGCCAAGGGGCTGAGTGCCAGGCAAGGAGTTCACAGAACACCATCCCTTAGGTGTCTTCTTGGCTGTACAGCATCATGGGTACAGCTTGCAGGTAGCTCAGAGCTCCACGATGGCTGCACCCCATACAGCCAAAGAAGCTGGACCCAGTGTCCCCCTTCCCCAGCCCTACTCTTTCTCCGCTGTGCCTACGCTGGATGAGTGGGAAGGAAACGGGCAGTTAAGATTTCACAGCATTTTCTGAGCTCTCTAGGTTGATGTGGGATTGATTTTGGCTCGAAATCCCTCGACTCCTCAGATCTAAACGTGGCAGAGAGCTTTAAAATCTGGCTTGGGTCTCCTCTGTCCCTCGTGAGCTCTGTTCTCTGGCGCAGTGCCCGTAGGGAAGCCGGGTAGCTTTCAGAGACCCAGCCATGGCTGGCAAGCCCTGAAAATATTCTTTTGACGCTCACTTGCAGATGACAGGAACCCTGGGAACGTAAACCCACTTATTTTCCGCCCCATGGAAGAGGGAGTCAACATAGATTTCCCCAGCACCATACATTCCATCGCCCAGTTCCTAAACTCCACGCGGGAGACCCGGGACCCCAGCACGTACACCCAGCTGGTGGCCACCTTGGCCTTTACCGCCGAGAAAGCCAAGTTTGCCACGGGAAATGAGCGGCAAGAGTGGATGGACTTGTTCATTGACACCTTCAAAATGGTGCACAGCGAGATTGTGGGGGACCCAGAGACCGTGCTAGGGCTTTGCTGACAGGTCTTAGAGACCCTCCCCCCTTTGGAGGCAGGGGTGGCCTTCCTCGAGTGCCTGTTTGGCAGAGGGGACAGGGATGTTGGGAGATGGTTTTAGGGTAGGAGAAAGGCAGTGAAAGGACTTGGTTGTGCTCATGACACAAGGGCCAGTCCTCTCCAGCTTGGCTGGCTGATGAGCATGGTGGCTTTCTCCAGGGATGTCTAGAGATGCTCTTGCTTTGCCTGCTGCTTTTCTGTAGAGGAGCTGCACCGCCTTGGTCTCTGAGCCAGCCAACGCTGCTCCCCTCTTGTGCTCCTACCCTGCTTCATCAGGGCTGCATGTCCCAGCCCTCAGCCAGGTCAGCACGACCACCTACGTATGCATTGGCTGGCCACTTCTAAAGCACCTTCTTCATCCCCTCGCTGAGTTATTTGAGGGCTTTCTTTGGGTCCTGCAAACCATCAGTGTGGCATGACTGGTAAAGCAACGTGCATCTTCCCACCGCAGCGAGTGTGTCTCTACAACCCTGCAAGGGGTAGCTGGAGGTGTTGAAGGGAAGGAAGGAGCAGTAGAGGAGAGGGAACATCCTTGGCTTTCCATCAAGAGCTACCCAGTGCTAGCTTGGTTTAGAGAAACTCCAGACCCTCCATGGGTTGTTGGATTGTGCCCTTAGGTAGCAGCGGTGTTCCCATGAGCTCAGCTGCCCCTGGTTTTCACCAAAAAAAGTCAGGCAGGTGGCTGCCATTCCTGCCTCCAGAATAACCACTGCCCTCCCAACCTGCCAGAGGAGAAAACAGCATTTTGTGTGCAGAGTTAGAAGCATTTATTGCCAAGCAAGTGGACTTTGCAGCCTCTCTAACTGACGTGGTATTATTGCAATAAAGCGTATTGAGCAAACGTCACATTTCATGGGCAGAAGGGGGATGTTCTGGTCTTCAAAAACGTGATCAAGCTGGAATATTGCAAAGAGGAGCCAGTGGCCAAGCTCAGGCATGGGAACTGGGGCAAGGAACTTGCCCACTTTGAATTTATTGCAGCGTTTTGTTCCAGCACTGCTTCAACATCTGGGGCTTGCCAGTCTAGGCTAGAAACCATCCGGCACCAGGCACGCAGAGGAGGTGTTTGTGTCCCTCAAATACGAGCAGATCAAATGCCCTGCACAAAAAATAGTCTTTCTTCCAAGGTTTCAGCAATTTTTGCTCTCAGTCTAGCTCAGAGGAGTTAAGCTCCTCGAGGAAAAGCCCCCAGACCCCACTGATTTCTCAGGGCAAAGTATTTATTTCATTTCCTCACACGCTGGCTTTCCTTTGGAAATATTTCCTAGGCAAGCAGCACAATACTGGGAAAAAAGTTTCCTTTGGGAAACCTTGTGCTCATTATGGGGAGAAAAAGAAGAGAAAACATCTCTTTGCCTGAGCAGTATTTGTGTTGGCCTTTGTTAAACAGAGGCAAGTGGGTGTAGTGAGGTTTTGCTGCCATAATCCTGGCTAATCCTTCTGATAAAAGTAGATAAATCTCACTACAGCAGCAGATCCTTCAGTGAAGCTCTTGGGCCAAAGGAAGGGGCTGGGGAAAGGCCATGTAGGAAGGGGGTGGATCTTGCTTGTCACCACAGGAGATGGGACTACATGTAGACAAGCAAAGAGACAGCTTGGTAAGAGGTGAGTACCCATCTTTATTGCTTTAAAGGAGTGTTTCAAATGGAGTGATCCATTTGTTGCTCAGCTCACACACGACGTTGGCGGGCCAAAGGAAGGGGCTGGGGAAAGGCCATGTAGGAAGGGGGTGGATCTTGCTTGTCACCACAGGAGATGGGACTACATGTAGACAAGCAAAGAGACAGCTTGGTAAGAGGTGAGTACACATCTTTATTGCTTTAAAGGAGTGGAGCAGTGTTTCAGATGGAGTGATTCATTTGTTGCTCAGCTCATACAAGACGTTGGCTCAGCACCCACCATGCTGAACCCAGCACTCGGCACTGAGGAAGCATTTTGTCAAGCTGGATTTGTTCCAAGCATGGAAATTTAACCTAAAAAGTTACCCCTCGTTGCCAGAAATGGATGCTCCAGTTGGGGCTGCTCCAGAATCTCTTGTTCTTTGCCAGTCTCCAGGACTTCCCCCCGTTGAGATTCAGCCTTAGAGCCACAGAACTGCTTTTTTTTTTATTTTATTTTATTTTTCCTGACTTCATTCACTCTATATTCATATGTCCACATACCTGCTTTGGAGGCAGGTGCTGTTCTGAGTGGCTGAAGACACTTCTTTGCCACATACAGGTGCACCAAGGATAGTCCTCTCTTCCAACCCTACGACCTTACCTTTATAAGATCTTCAGGAATCAGTGATTGCTGATTAAACTAATCTGGGTGGGAGTGAGAAAACAGCTTCAGTCCTATTTGTGTGTGAAGAGTAACTCTGCAAGTAAACCACTCTCTACAAGTGGCTGAGAGGTTTGTAGACACCGTGAGCTGCTACCCTCTGGATATTCCTCCTCCAGATAAGAGCTGGGAGATGCTGTGGGAAGGTGGATGTCATCCTAGGACTGCAAGGCACAGACCTGCCTGATCTTGGAGGTCTGTCATACATCCCAGAATTAACATTCAGCAAGTCCTAGTGCCCAGGAGCTAAAGGCATCAGAAGCAAAGCGCCTACATCGCCAACTACAAAGACAGGCTCGGGCAGCAGGGTGGGGCTGGTCCTTTTTTTTGGATAAAGATGCACAGAGGAAGCTCTATCTCTTCTGAGATGAGCCCCAACGTTATCTTCTAGTCTTTCTTGGGCTCCCAACTCTTGTCTTCTTTCTCCTGCAGAGCTCGCGGTGGCCCAGTGCACGCAGCGCCCCGTTGACGTCGTCTTCTTGCTGGATGGCTCTGAGAGGATCGGGGAGCAGAACTTCCACAGGGCCCACCTCTTCGTGGAGGAGGTGGCCCGACAGCTGACCTTGGCCAGGAGCAACAGCGACAACATGAACGCCCGGCTCGCGCTGCTGCAGTACGGCAGCGAGAGGGACCAGGACGTGGTCTTCCCGTTGACCTACAACATGACGGAGATCTCCAACGCCCTGGCCCAGATCAAGTACCTGGATTCCTCCTCCAACATCGGCTCGGCCATCATCCACGCCATCAACAACATCGTGCTGAGCCCGGGGAACGGGCAGCGCCTCGCCCGGCGCAACGCCGAGCTCTCCTTCGTCTTCATCACCGACGGCATCACGGGGAGCAAGAACCTGGAGGAGGCCATCAACTCCATGAAGAAGCAAGACGTCATGCCCACCGTCCTGGCTCTCGGGAGCGACGTAGACATGGATTGGGCCTGGGGGACCGGGCAGCCATCTTCCGGGAGAAAGACTATGAGAGCCTCTCCCAGCCCAGCTTCTTCGAGAGGTTCATTAGGTGGATCTGTTAAATGAAGGGAGTGCACGTGTCCTCCTCCTCCTCCTCTCACCAGTGCACACGCCCCTGAGAGTACCTGTTTCATTTTCTTCCCTCTGTATGGTCACTAGACAACCTGAGCTGTCCCAGAACAGCTGCCCTCTGGGTACAACTTTCTAGCCAAAAAAAAAAACCCAACCCAGCTCTTTTTTTATTATTTTTGTGATGAAAAGTCATCTTTTACATTTATGGTGCTACTTAAAACCCAGATAAAAGCAGGATGCAGAGCCATACCACGTACCTCTGTAAAGCTTTCCACACACCAAGCCATAACTTGGGTATGGACTGGAGTCCTAGGAGGAAGTGAGAAACCTTTCCAGTGTGGTAGGACACAGGATCATCTCTAGTTTTCAAAACCTCTCAAGATCCCTGTGTGTCTTTTGAGGAGCTTTACAGTTGTGACATCTCCCGTTCTTTAGCAAATCAGATTATCTCATTGTTTTCATGCTGTCAGTGCTTCTGCCCTGAGAGAGCTGAGTGAGTTTATGAAACGTGGTGTGCTTGCTTTCCCTTGGTGGCTTGAGCCTCTTTCCCAGGAGCTAGGGGATGGTGAGGGGTTTTGCTGCTGCCCTGGTTTGGAGCAAAACCAGTTCTGTTTTACCCCAAACTAGGACAGCTGCCTTGTTTTCTGCAGATGCTCCTTTTGGGGCTCTATCTTGAGTTTCATAGATTGCCTTCAAGACCTTAATGCTTCTGCGGGCCATAGCTCCCTTCCTTCCTTCCCTCCACCGTTCAGACCTTCATCAGAACCTGTTCATTTATTGCTACATCCAAAATCCTGACTGAGGGGGTCAGGATGCCTCCCAGCATCCCACAAAATACTGGGCTGCTGCTGGGGCTGCCTCGCTCTCCCCCCAAAGTGCTCAAAGCCACCACGGTGCCTTCTTCCCACCAGCATCCGCTGAGCAATGCCCAGATTTGAACTTGAATTGTACCGTTTGCAAAAAAATAAACAAAGTATTTTTCACCCCATCCTGAAAAAAAAAAAAAAGGCTTTTTATTGGGTAGTTTGTTTCTTGGTTTTTTTTAAATTGGTTTTGATGAGCAGCTGATGCTCCTGGTGTAAAAAAATAAACAAAGTATTTTTCACCCTATCCTGAAAAAAAAAAGGTTTTTTATTGGGTAGTTTGTCTCTTTTTTTAAAAAATTGGTTTTGATGAGCAGCTGATTCTCCTGGTGCTGAGACCATGGTGTGGAGCTGTGCTCATGTGTGCTGGGGTGTCACTGCTGGGTTTTCCTTCAGCAAGGAGAGTTGTAGGGGAGCTTTGAGGGTCACAGACCAAAACACAACTGTGTAGAGTCATAGAATGATAGAATTGTTCCAGTTGGAAGAGACTTTAAGACCATCCAACCCAACGGTTAACCCAGCACTGCCAGGTTACCACTAAAGCATGTCCCTCAGCACCACATCTCCATGGCTCTTAAATCCTTCTAGGGGTGGGGTGGAGTCTCTACCTCCCTGGACAGCCTGGTCCAGGGCTTGACAACCCTTTCAGTGAAGACATTTTCCCCTCATATCCAACCTAAACCTTCCCTGGCACAACTTGAGGCCATTTCCTCTTGAGACCAACCACCCCTCCTGGCTCCAGGCTCCTGTCAGGAGCTGTGCAGAGCCAGAAGGTCTCCCCTGAGCCTTTTTTTGCTCCAGGCTCAGCACCTTCAGCTCCCTCAGCTGCTCCCCACCAGCCTCATACCCTAGACCCATCCCCAGCTTCATTGCCCTTCTCTGGCCACACTCCAGCCCCTCCAAAAGATGAGCCCCCAGCATCAGAGCACAGGAATAAACACACAGACACCAGCAGACTGCAGAACAGCATCTGATGCTCCCCACGCAGCCTCAGGGACAACTCTCAGCAGGCTCTCCAGCAAGACAGAATGATGGAGCTGCTGCCCATTGTCTCACAGGCATTCCAGGTCAAAGAATTTACAAGCTAAAAGGGAGAAAAAAATCACTCAGCAGGCAAAACGTGGCTCTTGGAGAAAGGGGAAAGGACCAAAGCAACAAGGAGGTGGTTGCCAGGGGGTGTTTGCTTTCATGTTTGGCTGCTTCACTGATGTACAAGTGGGAGGTGTCCTCTTCAGTCAGAGTCAGAACTGCTGCTGGAGCTGCTGGAGTGCTGGAGGAGAGAAAAATGATTTAGGATAGCACAGAAACAACTCTCTTTCCCCCCACTTCTGAAAGCTGTTGACAATCCCATGGTGGGATCCCCTTCCCAGTGCCCAGCTGGGTGCAGGTGGAGCTTGGAAGGAGTCAACATCCAAGCCCTGGGGCCATGGGGAGGAGGTGTGGGAGTCAGCCCAGCACCACAGTGCTACACACAGGGATAGATTTGAAGATAAAAATCACAA